AATTTCCCCCCCCCCTTCCCTGTGATTGCTTACAGAAGGATGCAGTCCCCCCAGCTGAGTGCAAGCAGCAGTGAGGCCTGGCTGCCTTTTGAGGAACAACTGCACTGTAACGGCTTCTCAAATTAAAAGTAAAAAAAAAAAAACTGATCTAATAAAAAAGAAATAGTTACTTACCGCCTTATAATGTTTTGTATTTTTCTTGGTAGAGAATTTGAAGAAGAAAAAAAGTTTCAAGATTTTTGTTACGAAAACTCATGGTATAATACTGGGAGCTCAGCGTGGCTCGATATACATAGTATTTTACTAGACCTGTTTTTTTTTTTCCTTCTCTTCCTCCTCTGTACAATAGATAGAATACAGGAAAAAATATCTCCCTCGAAAAGCATGAACTTGTTTCTTCACTGCTAAAACTAGTTTGGGTTCTCGTGAAGTCTTTTGTTGTATTTGCTCTTAGACAACAGCTGTGGTTTAGACTGCATCGCGGCAACGTCAATTTATCAAACACCCCCCTCACCCTTCCCCCTACCAAAGTTCCAGGTTGGTCAATTCCGGTTGTCCCAGGGGAATGTTTTTTTTTTTTTTTTCCATTCTTAGCGGGGCCGAAGCACTGTAGCATTTCCATCTCTAGTGACGGAGGATAGGTGGGTGTCTATTCCCGTTTATCTAATCTCACTGAGCATGGGATCCGGAGTCGCTGATTTCTAAGCCACTTCCTGTGCCACTCGTGCTCGACTATTTTCCACTCTCCATACATTCCAGTAAGCAGACTGGCCGGCGCCATCAGTGAACCTCTTTCCAAAGGGGAGTCCAAAAATTAAGTTCATTCTGACCTCTTTGTCCCATCGTAGGTCACTCCCAGGGCATGGCGCAACCTGTTCGAGTCTCTTAACATTCCAGAGAATTCTTAAGATGAGGAAGAGGCTGAAACGGTTTGGTGGGATGACCCGGCCCCAATAACCCAGTGCTTCAGGCTCCCCATATGCTCGCAGTGGCGTTGCTGTCTTTTCTATAGCACTTTGTACTAGTGTGTGGTGTACCGGTGGCGTCCCATCATTGGTTAGCTGTCTAAGTACTTCTTGTAAGCAGCACTTTGTTTGACACCCGCCCCCTGCCTAAACGGCCCGCCCTGTGGAGAGTTCAACTCGTGCCGTCTAGTTTTTATATGCTTGGCGTTTCTTACCAGGGCAGGCACACTTGGCGTGTTTAGAGAGGCTCCGTAGGAACCGGGTTGGGCAGATGTAGCGCGAAGGGCAAAAAGGAAAGTCCAAATCAGGTTTTCAAGTGTCTGTAGACATGTCGGGTTCACCAAAACCCCCTTTTTTCCTCATCCGGTTATCACATTTACCTCACCAATTCGTGACCGGTCAGGTGACTCCCTCAGCCCAGCCCCTGAGGTCCTGGTTCATTTTAATCACTGTGAAAGAAAGAAGGGGGGTGGGGGGAGAGTGTGATATGGCCATCCTATTGTCCAATGACCCACCACCCTACCCCAAACTCCTCGCTTTGTTACCCAGAAGGCCACAGGAAAGTGTCAGAGCAATACTTAATAGCCAGGTAGGGGGATCGAGAAGAAACCGTAGCCCCCACTCCATTCTCAATGCCTTTTTATTTGAGTTGTGAAAACAGCCAAGCGTCGCTGGTTTTGGGCAGCATTGTGTCCACTGGAGAGCCAGGGTACCTCTCATTCTGCAGGGAGTATTCAGATCATGTTCATTGGAAAAAGGGATGTGAAGGGGTTTCTGTAGGGTCCCTCTGAGCAGCTGTTGTCAAGGCAAAAATGCTATGCTACAAAAATACTAATGTACTCAATAACTACGTGTATGTTCATGAATAAATTGGTTAAACATGAGTGATGTGGTCGACTCATTTTGTTGCGTTAATTGTAGTCTTTGGAATATAAATAAGAAAAAAAGGCCAATCACACCTACTGATACAGACACCACCAAGAGTTGTTTTTCTTGGTATTATAATTGTAAACATTTGTTCTTCCAAAATATTTCTACAAATTTAACAAAGCCACTACAAGCTGCTCCTCGGCCCGGTAGTTTGAGCAAATGATTGTACGTGCTACCTTGTGCCAGAAGAGGGCGCCATCGCTTTGGGAAGGTGCTTGCTGACCATGGGGAATATGGTTTGTAATGAAATAAAAGAATGAACAGCCACTGACATCAAGAGAGCAATTAGATGACTATCCTAAACGGTGATACAAATCTATATTTGAATGTCTTCAACACTGTTTCATTTCAGATGGTATTCACACCAAAGTATCAGCTGGTTTGACTGATAAAAGTTCTCTAACAATAGTACAAACTAGGCTGTGTATATGCAGGATGTAGTCAAAGTAGAACACTAGATACTGTATTGTGTAATCTGATACCAGTGGTAGAATTATTCAGATCTTTTACAATTTTACTTCAATGTAAAAGACTTGATCACAAGAACAGAAATGTTTACATATATTGTAAACACAAAGTTTAGATTGGCCCCTTCCAGTGCTGTATTAAGTAAATAAGACAATTCTACAGATTAACATATAAACATCATATTGTAGCATATGATGGTTAGTTGGGATCATTTCCGCTACTCTGTTGCGTTATGTATATTTGTCTTCTATAAACATGTATAGTGTCCTGCCTGCCAAGTAGCAACTACAGCTGGGAAGCATAAAGTACACAATTTCGTCTACATTTGTTTCCTACGTTTTTGGAAGGTGACTATAAGGAATTATGAGTTTTTTTTTCCCTCATGCCTTTGATCATTTTGGGACCCCTCGGATTTATTTTAAGAGCTTCCTTTGGGGTCTCGAACATCAGGTTGGGAACCACTAGGATGTACATTAAGTAGTATCCAATGGAAGAAACTCACGTGTAGTACCTCAACAATTGTACTCGTGTAAATGTGAACGCCACATAAACCTTCTAAACTAACTACTTGCAGGTTAATTTATCATCTGAACTGCTTCTTTGTGTATTGGGCAAGATATTCCCCCTATATCTCAAAAATTACAAATCCTTATTGGGCCGTTTTCAGAGTCGGGAGGCTGGGTGCCACTGAGGGGGGCGGTGCACCTCTCCAGCAGAGCCCTCCCGCCCCTCACACACTGTGACCAGCAGCCAGACAGACAGACTCGCTCCCACTACAACCGAACGCTGCTCATCTCATGCCTCCGCTTGCTTTGGGATAGCCGTTCATCTGTCCGTCCGTCCGCCACAGCACCCGGGGAGGTGGAAGCCTGAAGCGTCCGGGCGAAGATGCTGGAAAACGGGAGGAAGGTGTTCAAGGAGGGTCTGCTGGAGAAGCGGAGCGACGGGCTGCTGCAGCTCTGGAAGAAGAAGCACTGCGTCCTGACCGAGGACGGCGTGCTGCTGCTGCCGCCGAAGCAGCACGACCAGCCGCAGCACCACCATCCGCACCACGGTGTCGGGGACGTGGGCAAAGTCAAGGAGCTGCACTTCGCCAACATGAAGACGGTGGACTGCGTGGAGCGCAAGGGCAAGTACATCTACTTCACAGTAGTCATGGCGGAGGGCAAGGAGATCGACTTCAGGTGCCCGCAGGACGAGGGCTGGAACGCGGAGATCACTTTGCAGATGGTCCAGTACAAGAACCGGCAGGCGATCCTCGCCGTCAAGTCCACCCGGCAGAAGCAGCAGCTGCTCGTCGTGCAGATGCCCGGTCAGAAGACTGTCCGCAGCTCGCCAAACGTGGCGTGACCTGCGGCGAATCCCGCGGACATTGGTGCACTAATAACTGGCAGACAGAAAGCGAAATTGAGGGGAGGGGGGCTCCCCAGGTCCGGAGAACACCTGGGGATCCCCTTACAAATGAAGGACCTGTGTTTTTTTGTTTTTCCCTCTGGATATATGTGCTGAGAACGAGGACGTCTGTTTTCATCATAGGCTACATTCTTCCCTCACAGATCAAACCCTGAGCAAATAAGCTGGCAGAGGAGAACGAAATCGTACAAAATGTGGATTTACTTTGGCGTAAAGAAAAGTTTGTGTGCCTCTGCTGTAGGCCTGCCCCCATGTCCCCCTCATGGAGGTGAAATGTGGTGGATATCCATTCCCAGGCAGGTTTGATCTTCAATGCAACAAGGTCTTCCCCTTATCCATACCATATGGCTTTACGCGCGGAGATAAATCGATTACGCACGTTGCATAACTGTTGACACCAACACTGGAAAGAGGAATATATCTTTATACAAAGCATTTCAAATTTGATTTACACGAGGGAATCAATATTTGAGCATGTTAAAGTCCGCGGTTTTAAAGTTGAGCTATTGAAAACTCCAAATGATGCGTAAACCTGCGCGTCTGTACGCATCATTTGGCACAAATCAAAAGCGGTCAGGTGAATCCCGACGTTTTTAAGTTTATGCACATGCATATACTACCAAATTTACACTCTAACACAGTCATCAATATGTGCCACACCAGAAACATGTGTATGAAGCTTACAGTTCATCTACACACTGCATGAGCTGCTTTGTGCCCATGCAAGTGGCTCCTTGTGGCACATGGGGATTTCTTGACACACTGAGGTTTCATTCCGGCAAAACATTAATGGACCGAACACTCTGAAACAGTGTGGTCACATGTTATTATTCTGTCATTGTGATAAAATGGTGGAAACACTGGTGCTGCCAAGGCTTTAATTTAAAGGGAGACACTGTAAGTGTAACTGATTTTTACTTTGTTCAAAAGTTACTGTTCTCCACGTTCTCTCACATGCATATTTATCTTATGTAAGAAAGAAAAGTATCCTCAGCTAAAACCTTCACATAAAGAAAGGGGGGGAAACAATTTTTTTTCATTTTGTCGGTATGAGCTTGATGCTGACCGTTGCAATGAAATGAGCAGCTTGAGGTCCTGTTATATTGAGTCCATGTTTCCAGTGACTTTAGACTTGCCTCCTGCGTCGGGCCCCATCAGTCTGCAGTCTGTCTAATTGATTGCATCCGCAGGTTAATTGGACACTTGGCTGGAGGATGAATATTGATGAGGTTATCTCTCTGCCGCTTCGCCACACACCACCACTCTCCAGGAGAACCCCTCTTCCACGCGGTGGTGTCCACATACAAGCGTCCCCTTTTCAATACTGAGACTTATTTCACAAAAGACTGATGGACAGAAAGCACGTGAGAACACAACTGTACTCTACCGTCACGATGGCTTTATCCCTTATTTATTAGATGTATATATATTTTCTATTAAAGTTATGTTTGTTGATGAATGTTCAGTGTGTTTGTTGCTGGAGTGGAACAATAACTACTCGCTCAGCAGTTCCTAGTCCACATGTCACACACAAAGTCCATTGGGAATAAGCTTACATATCGTTATTTTAGGGTGGTTCCTGTAAGTTAGTCAGATCAACTTATTACTGGTATAATGTGTCATGGATCATGTTTTTGTTTTTCAACTGAACCAAAGAGTCATTTCATTGTTTTTCGCTCTTGTGCAGCTCAGAATATACGAAATATTACAGATATGAGATAACTGCATGATTGCTTGATTTATTAATAACCACAGTACATGTTAGTATTTTCATTGTGTACATCCATCATTTTCCAGCATTCATAGATAACTAAGCTATATCTTGATTTCTTGTGAGTCTTAAATCTTAGTAAGATAGCCTACCAGATAATTACCCTCCATTTGTTTTCAGTTGTTACAGAGAGGAGCTTAGTTTTTATAGGGAGTAAGTAACATGCACAGTTGGGTTTTTGTTGTATTGAGTGCTCTAAAGTTAATTTCATTGGTTGCATTAAATCTTAGTGGGTGGGGACCAATAACCACTGTTTTCTGGCTTTATACTGTGGTTTGAAACCAAAAGATGGAGGAAACCAATAGGCCCAGCCTAGTACTTGTGATTGATAACCAACAACAAAGAGGAAAACTACCATGGCATTTTTTAATGTGGAAATTCAGAGATATTTCTTCTGTTTTTAAACTTTTTAGTCAAAACAGGAGAAGCTAAGGTAGCTTGTTAGCTGTGTTGCTCCATCGAAAGAGAAGTCTGAGTATAACTGCTTCACAAAAGAGACAGTTAAAAGACAGGAGTCAATGATACAAATAGGTTTCTTGAATAATCTGCGTCAATGGCTTGCTTATTGTGAGTTAGCTACGGTTCAAACAAGCTTGCTTACTGTAAGTTAGCTTCTGTGCTAGCCATAGACCGTATGGTGCCAACTAGCTTGCGTTCTGTTAGTTAACAGAACTAACTAGCCTAACTCCCACTGCGCTTCTTGGCCCTCCCCCACCCACTAACATCCAATCAGAATATTTCTGTCTCTTGCAGCTCTTCCTCTGACAGTTCATCAAACTATATCTCTAATCTGCAACTATCATACTGGAAGTTATGAAATGCTTTTTTTTTTTCAGGAGAAAATGAACAAGATTAATAATGTGACTGTTGTCAAAGTGATGGTGGTGATATACAGGGCAACGTTGAGTGGAATGGGACGGGCAACGGCTTCCACTGTTGTTTTTTTAAATGACTGTGGGATGTCGTTCTGTCAGGAAACATTATCTCACTGTGGCTCATGTCGTTTCCTGTTTGCTGGAAAGTGTTTCCCACTGCTTCCCCACTCTTGACAGTGTACCACAGCCAAACCAATACATGCCTTGGTGTTGTCATCTCCCACACAGGGTAATAGCTGTGCCCTTTATCTAATGTGATTGGTGTGATGCTTCTCCGACATGCCTTCCTGTTGCCATCATTACACACACAGTTATAGCTGTGCAATTTCCTATTTCAACATGAGATCTATTTTCATACCTCGAAAATACACATTCCATTAAAAGAAAACAAAATAAAAACAGTGTCTCGAGTGGTTTCTTTCTGTCTCCTGTACAACAGCATATGCGTGTCACAGCCCTGCGATTCAGCGTGGTCATTGAAGCGACCTGTTTAAGTAGCTGCTGCCCTGTCGGTCTCCAGCCTTTCATGCTTTACAGCCGCTGAACCTCTCACCCCCTGCTTCCTGGTCTAAATGTAGAAGCCATGTAGAGAATTAGGTTTCACTGCCAGTTGTTGCCGCTCAGATGCACTGCCAGCGCGTAATGTCAAAAGCACACGTGGCCCCGGCTACTCTCTCGTCTTAACGCTGAGCTAATTCAATTAAACGCAGTCCACAGGATGGCATCCTGTCTGAAACATGGAGGGCTCGCTGCTGCCAGAGAGGAGCGTCGCTGTAAGGAAGCAGCATGTCGCTCTAAATATTGAAGTCTGGGCCTTAGAGTCACCTGCGATCCTAATCTTTCAACACTGCATTTAAAAATGTAAAATAGTCACACTGGTGCAATCAGGATCCAGGATGGAAATGCATTTATATTTTTGACATTCTGCTGTCAATCTATTGTAGATTGACAGCAGAAATATTAGGTCACTTTTGTTGAGGAGCTGCTGCTGAGACCAGATGTGGCAATTACATGAGCAAATAGACTGTAAAGCAATATTCTCAAGCCCCAATAAACCCTTATTAATGGGTCGATAAACGCTGAATAATTTACAAACTCTTTTATAACAAGTTTCATGTAATTCTTTGCAGAATGTATATGAAAAATCAAGATGTTTAGTTACGGAAGTACACTTTCAGTGAATTAATTAAAATTAAGCTTAATGTGCACTTTGTCTACAAGCTTGCACACAATTTATCATATATGAAGAGTAAAGTTTCCAATAATAGATTCATGGTGACTGCATTTTTCTCTTGTATTTGAATAGTGCACTTCTTTACAGGAGATACATGTGGACATAAACAACTGCTCCTAATGTTAACATAAATGTCTCGTTTCCTGATAATTACTACCAAATATCAGTACTTTATGGAAACATAATGGAACAGTGAATGATAAATGAAATAGATATTGTCTGTGGGGGCGGTACTGTTCTCAAATGAACCCACAAAAGGGGACAAAAGCTGAGTAAGGACATGATAAATTTGTCTTGTTGACGTCCCTCCAACACGGCGGTGTGTCCCCTTGAAATGGCCAGCGGCAGCTGTTCTTCAAACATGTAAGTTGACTGCCAACTTATTCCTCACCATCACATCTCTC